TCACGTGGGATTGACGTACAGCGGGTTTGGGCCGGGCGTACGTCACAAGTATTTCCTCCATGTGGCAGGTATTTGGAGACAAAGGAAACGAGCTCCCCTGAAAGATTGTCTTGTCCCTGGAGACAAGAAGTGCATCATCTTGCATGTTCTGGTATCTTCCTCCCTTCCTTACTGTACTTACGCAATCCACCCTGCCTGAATGTTTTAGGAACATCCTCCATGTATAACTGTCCCGGGATGATCCATACTGCCTGACTATCCCGGGATGATCCATACTGCCTGACTATCCCGGGATGATCCATACTGCCTGACTATCCCGGGATGATCCATACTGCCTGACTGTCCCGGGATGATCCATACTGCCTGACTGTCCTGGGATGATCCATACTGCCTGACTATCCCGGGATGATCCATACTGCCTGACTGTCCTGGGATGATCCATACTGCCTGACTGTCCTGGGAGGATCCATACTGCCTGACTATCCTGGGATGATCCATCCTGCCTGACATCCTAATCCATCCTGTGATGTTCCATGCTGCCTTACTGTCTTGGGATGATCCATACTGCCTAAGGGCTAGTTCACACCGAGCGCGTTCCAGGAGCGCAGCAGAACAGTTACAGACCGGATCAAAACTGCGTCCAATGTATTCCAATGGTATTTTTGGCTCTAGTTCACACCGCAGCGTTCAGTTCCAGAGCATGTAAAAAAACTGCAGCCCTATTTTACCTGCTCTGTAACGCATGCAAATGCATCAAACACGCATGCAAACGCCCTGAAAGCCTATTGTAAACTAAATATATATATTTAACAAAAACGGCCCTGAACGCAAAAAACGCGGCATAACACACTGCACTGCGTGTGCAGAAACTCATGCAGATCTGGTCTGCATTTGGTGTGAACAAGCCCTTACTGTCCCGGGATGTTCCCTGCTGCCTGACTATCCTGGGATGATCCATACTGCCTGACTATCCTGGGATGATCCATACTGCCTGACTATCCTGGGATGATCCACACTGCCTGACTATCCTGGGATAATCCATACTGCCTGACTGTCCTGGGATGATCCATACTGCCTGACTGTCCCGGGAGGATCCATACTGCCTGACTATCCCGGGATGATCCATACTGCCTGACTGTCCCGGGGTAATCCAGAAATGAAACAAATATATCTTCTGTGTTGGACGCATGGAGTAAACACGTCAGGTGTGCAGTGATGTGTATTCCCGTAATCGAAACCACTTGTCAGGGTGTGTCTGTTTGTTCTTCTGACGTGGCCTTGTGATATGTGAACACTGGGAGGGACGTATTCTGTTCTCCAGCACATGTGACTAGAGTCACTTCAGAGGCGGAAAGGAAGGTCTGATACATGAACACCAACAGGAGGGGGTCTGATGAACATTCTGGGGGCCCAGAAAAGCTCTGGAAGTGTTTCAGGCTCAGAGCTGAGCGAAGCATTTGTCTTCCAATGAACATGAACAGCTCTTGTTTTTCTCAGCCGTTGTCTTTTACATTTATTGGGCTTCTAAAATACATTGAAGAGCAGTGACCGTGCAAAGTACAGAATTTCACGTCTGTATAAGCCGATGTGACTACAGTAAACTATAGGCAGCCCCCCCTCCCCCACTTGTAATGTGCAAATATGGCGGAACCTTTGTATATACATAATTACAGGCTGTGTGTTTATACAATGTAGCTGTGAACCTGAGCGGGATGACAATTGGTTTCCTCTGTTCACTTTGTATCATAAAATTGCCTTTTTTCAATAATAATGTGTTCATTTTTTTCCATTGGTTTCCCATCTCAGTGCTGCTGATCTCCTGCAGACACTTTCAGCCACTTCCTGTCTATATGCTCCTGCGTCAGCACATCATTGCACTGGGCTGGCTTCCTGATGGTGACAACGGTGGACCATGATACATAGGGGGATATTTATGCAATGTGTCTTATTGTATTCAGTTGGTGATCCGTTGATTTATGATGCACGTTGGGGACAGATTTGTTTTCTGCAATCAATTATCATAATAAATTCGCTGCTTTGTAAGTGAAGAAATCTCCTCATAGTAAGAAAGATTTCCTCAGCAGTTCTAAGTTCTGTGAGCGTTCTGAAGTCAGATTTCATTACAAGATACGTCACTCGCTGTTGTGGCACAAACAGACATGGAGAGACTAATCAGAGGGGCTACATGACTGGGGGGAGGAATAGTCCCGGGAGAAAGGGTTAAAAAATGGGAATAGCTGCTCTTACCTGATTGGACGTGGGAGTCAGGTGTCCGGGAGGAGCCGCATGGGAAGGAACTGCGAGGGCTGAGGGACGTCCTCTTTCTGGAAATCGACGAAGGAAGCAGGTTGGCCCACCCTCCCTGAATTTTGTGGTTATGGGGGGTGGGGGGGG